AGCCCTTGGAGTGGAAGCTGAATTTTAAGAGCGCACCATGGAGTAACTTAGGCAAGGTAGGATCAGGATGAATTTGCTAATAGAGTGGATTGATGAAGAGATGAAGAAAAGATAAATCCATGGACTTTTTTTACACTCTGGTCATTGTTTACAAGCATGCATATTTGTTATCTGTGGTCTGAAGTATAAATTCATGTGAGATTTTTTTAAAATATCTTTTTTTATACCCAGAAAATATATAAGCCTCATCTAATTTAATGAATACTAAAACTTTATAAACAATAATATAGTTTACTTTGCCATCTTTTAAAACTCATACTCATACTTGATTCAAAACTGATTTCAGACACAAGAGACATGTTATTTGCTAGTGAATTCCAACTATGTTTCCAGCCTGTTAAAGCCACTTAGATCAAAGAATTTGAGGCTTTTGTTTCACTAGTTATATACATTATAAGCCTCAAAGATCACAGGCATATATTGTGTTGGTTAACATTTCATTACTGTAACAAATGCCTGAGATATATGGAGGAAGGTTTATTTCCTTATGAAGAAGAAGGGTTTAGTTTTGGCTCCTAGTTTTGGAGGTTTCATTCCATGTTGGGTACTCCCATTGCCTTTTGGCCTGTGGCGAGGTACAACATCGTGACAGGAATCCATGGCAGAGGAACTCCCTTACCTCATGACTGAGTGTGGGAAGGAAAGAGAAATCTGGGGATAGGAGCAGGGTCCCACAGTCTCCAGGGGCATGCCCCCAGGCCCTACAGCCTCCCGGTAGGCCTCACCTCTTAAGGGTTCTGCCACCTCCTGATGACATCAGTGTGGAGACTAAGCCTATCAACCATGGTCCCCTTTGGAGGACCTTTCAGATCTGTACTATGGCACATACACAGTCTGCTCAGCATGTGTCAGACAAGGGGCATCCATAAAGGGGAGTTTAACATATGCAACCAGTGGTCATGGTAGTAATCCCAATCCTTGGCTTCACTTTACCTGCACAGAAACGAAATGAACCGCTCTATTACCTGTTATGGCAACTACAGCTTGTATTTTTCTATTGAATGCTAACAGAAATGTTGCAGTGTGAAAACTTTAAACGAAGGATGATGGCTGTCATGTCCTTAGAAGTAATTTGCTTAGCAAATGATCGATACTGGAAATATATTTTGGATGCAGGTAATGCAAATCTATGTATTAACTATATTTTTCCTATGCTATTTTAAAGAGAGCTATATTTTTTTCAGGCCAGTTACGTGTGTGTGTGTGTGTGTGTGTGTGTGTGTGTGTGTGTTTGGTGCTAGGGACTGAATTCAGGGCTTTGTGTATGCACACTGCACACTACAACCAGCCCTAAGATACATTTGTGACTGTAAAAAAATCTTTTTAGTCCATTTTAAGTTTCCCTTTTCTCTAAGATCACCTCCTTTGTCTGTCAATCACTTATTTTCTATGTGGAAGCTATATAGGATCAAAAATCTGAATAAATTTTAGAGAAATTCTATTTCTCTAAAAGCTTACAAATGTAAACACTGCTATTAAATTATTTTAACACACCGTTTATATTTACTTTCACTTAGAAATGATCCCTATTCTGTATTTGCACAATTTCATTTTCTAAATTAAAAATAGCGAGTAAGTGGCAGGCCAGACTTGTAGCTAGACCTTCATTTGCAAGTTAAATTAATTACTTAGCCTCTCTGTCCTAATTTCCTCCTTAATAAATAGTTCAACTTCAGAGGATCGTTTTGAGAACAATACCATTCAATGCAACTTTCTGAAATGAGGAAAATATTCTGTCCATACTCCCATAATATGGACACTAAAGGCACATGAGATACTCTATAAATAATGTTAAATAAATAGATTAAGTAAATTTAATTAATTATAGACATCCCTCTAATGTATCCCAAAAAGCATGTACAGAAAGCATTATGTCAAAAGAGTGAAACAAAAATTCAAATCATGAAGGATGTTTCATTGCGGCCAGCTACACAAATAAATGAATAAAGCCCTAGTTATATGATTATCTTTCCTATCAGTTTGTGTGTTGTATGCCAATCTCTTTATTTCACACTGAGTTGATGTAAGTATAAGAAGCATGCAGCTGAAGCCAAATTTTCTGTTTTCAATACGCTCAGTGATTTCAGTCTTTAAAACAATTGTAACTAATGAGGGTAATGTGCATTTTATTAGATTCAGCTCTTTGTCTTTTCACTTGCTGGTATAACAGAAGGAAAAAATATAATAAAAATATTTAAATAATTACACAAACACTGCCCCAAGGTAGGTGCGATAACCAAAGCTAAAATCTACCACACGGTAACTCAAAGAATTTATCATAGATGTTAAGCCAAAATTCAATGTTTTAAAAATGGCTTCCGGTTACCAAGCCACAGTGTATGCTTGTGTGCTGTGAAATCAAATGTGTGAACAATGAGAGCTTATAGTGTAGACTAGACAAAGAAATATACTTATATAATTTCTGGTG